AACAAACCTCTACAGAAAGATAGCACAAAACCCCATGACAATAATCTCTCTCAATGTCAATGGTCTAAATGCACCAATTAAGAAACACAGAGTGGAAAAATGGATTGAAAAACTGAACCCAACATTCTACTGCCTACAAGAAACACATATGAACAGTCAGAGCAAACACTGACTCAAAGTCAAAGAATGGAAAACAATTCTTCAAGAAAACAACTGTCAGGGCTGGAGCAATAGCACAGCGGGTATGGAGTTTGCCTTGCACGCGGCCAACCCAGGTACGAATCCCAGCGTCCCATATGGTCCCCTGAACACTGCCAGTAGTAACTCCTGAGTGCAGAGCCAGGAGTAACCCCTGTGCTTTGCCGGGTGTGACCCAAAAAAAGAAAAAAAACTCTCCAAAAAGCTGGGGTGGCCATACTAGAATCCAACAACATAGATTTCACGCTGAAAAAATAATAGAAGGAACAGAGAAGGTCATTTTTAATAAACAAGGGATATGTACAGCAGGAAGAAATCATGCTCCTAAACATACATGCACCCAATGAGGAACCAGCTAAATATGTAAAACAACTGCTAATAGATTTCAAGGAGAATGTTGGCAGCAACACAATAGTAGCTGGAGACTTCAACACTGCCTTATCACCTCTGGATAGAGCAACAAGACTAAAAATTACCACAGAAGTACTGGCTTTGAAGGAAGAAATAGAAGAGAGAGGGCTAATAGATATATACAGAGCTTTCCATCCCCCCAAAATCTAAATACACAGTCTTTTCCAGTGCACATGGGACATTTTTCAAGATAGACCACGTGTTGGGCCACAAAACTACCTCAACAGAGTCAGGAATGTAGAAATTGTATCAACTATCTTTTCAGACCATGATGCACTGAAGATAGAAGTTAAATCGCACATAGACGTGGAGATTCAAATCAAACACTCAAACAACACTCAATTAAACAACTCAGTGTTGAACAATGAGTGGGTCAGGGATGAAATCAAGGAAGAAATCAAAAGATACCTGGAAACAAATGAAAATGAAGCTACCAGAACTTATAGGACAGAGATAAAGCAGTGTTAAGGGGAAAATTTATAATTCTGCAAGCATTTCTCAGGAAGGAAGAAAGGGTCCAAATAAATAACTTGACTTCACAACTTAAGTTCTTAGAAAAAATCCAACAAAAGGAGCCCAAACCAGGCAGGAAGATAGAAATAATAAAACTTAGAGCAGAAATTAATGACATGGAAACCCATCAAACGATCTGAAAGATCAATGAAACCAAGAGCAAAAATAAACAAGATTGATAAAATAAACAAGATTGATAAGCCACTAGCAAGACTCACAAAGAAAGAGAGAAGAGAGGAACCTAATAAACTGAATCAAAAATGAAAAGGGGGACATCACAACAGAAACCAAAAACATTCAGAAGATCATCAGAGATTACTTTCAAAGTCTATATGCCATGAAAAATGAGAACCTAGAAGAAATGGATGAATTCCTGGATTTCTATAACTTCCCAATGCCGAGCCAAGAAGATTTGGAATGCCTGAATAACTAATTACTGCCAAAGAAATTGAAACAGTAATCAAAAGTCTTCCCTAAAACAAAAGCTCAGGTCCAGATGGACACACTAGTGAATTCTTCTAAATATTTAAAGAGGACCTATTGCCAGTTCTTTTCAAGCTTTTCTAGGAAATTGAAGAAACAGAAACACCCCCAAACAGTTTCTATGAGGCACATACCACCCTAATACCAAAAACAAACAGAGACACCACATAAAAAGACAATTACAGACCAATATCCCTGATGAACATGAAAGCAAAAATCCTCAACAAAATATTAGCAAATAGAATCCAACACCTCATCTAAAAGATCATACACCACAACCAAGTGGGATTCATCCCAGGGATGCAAAGATGGTTTAACATTCGTAAGTCAATCAACATAATCTATATATCAATAAAAGAAAAGACAAAACCATATGATCATATCAGTAGACACAAAGAAAGCATTTGATAAGATCCAGCACCCAGTTATGATGAAAACTCTCACCAAAACAGGAATTGAGGGAACTTTACTCAACATAGCCAAAGCCATCAACCACAAGCCCAAGGCAAGCATTATCCTCAATGGGGAAAAGATAAGATCCTTCCCTCTAAGTCAGGGACAAAACAAGGATGCCCACCCTCACCACTTGTATTCAATATAGTACTGGAAGTACTTGTTACAGCAGTTAGGCAAGAAAAAAAGATATTAAAGGCATCCAGATATGAAAGGAAGAGATCAAGCTCTCACTATTCGCAGATGACATGATACTATATGTAGAGAATCCTGAAGTCTCTACCAAGAAGCTCCTAAGAAACAATAGACTTGTACAGTAAAGTCACAGGCTATAAAATCAATACCCAAAAGTCCATGGCTTTCCTATATGCAAATAATGAGAGAGGACGGATTTTTCTATTGGGCTCTTCATGTTGGAAGAGAAAAAGGAGAAAAATTTCTTGTGTGAGTCCTCGGCTCTACCCCTGCTTCCACTTTGTGAGTCCCTACCTCCCTGGCCTCCTTTACATAGTACAGGAGGCCACATGTAAATGTAAGGTCATGAAGGCACTGCTTCATGAGGCTTCATATCTTTCTGAGAAAAATGTAACCTCCAAACACAAAACTCTCAGAAAAGGCAAATAGACAGTGGATCAGGCATCTACCTTGCATGCAGCCGAATCTGGTTCAATTCCCAGCCCCATGGGAAGAAAGGGGGGGAAGGGAGGTGGGAGGGGAGGAAGGAAGGAAGGAAGGAAGGAAGGGAGGGAGGGAGGGAGGGAGGGAGGGAGGAAAGGAGGGATGGAGAAAGGGAGGGAGAGATGGAAGGAGAGAGGAGAAGAGAGGAGAGGGGAGGAAAGAGAAGGAGAAGGGAGGGGAAGGAAAGAAGGAAGAAAGAAGAGAGGAAAGGGGAGGAGAAGGAAGGGAAGGGAGGAAAGAAGGAAGGAAGGAAGGAAGGAAGGAAGGAAGGAAGGAAGGAAGGAAGGAAGGAAGGTTGGTTTCAGAAAAGCTTACTCTACTTCTGAACACACACAGGGCCCTGGTTCCCTGCTCCCCAGAGCCTGAGTGCATTGTATAAACTAACTCTGTTGATCTAACTGCTTTACAGAGTACTGTGACACAGAGAAGGGCACATCTTTGGGGGATCCAAAGTGATGGGGTAGGGATGGGCCTCTGGAGCAGAAGAGACCTCACATAGTCAGAAACAAGTAATCTCTTTAGGACTTAGTGGCACTCTCATTCCTAAAAAGGTGTGGAAAAATGCATGAGTGTGTTTTTCTGAAGAGTTTTTGCTTTGAAAAGATTCTCAAAGGAGTCATTATACATTTTTTTTTTTTAAATACCACTAAATTTTTAGGTTTTGTTGCAGTCCAGGATGATAAGGCATCTGTTTGCATTGCAGAACAAGTTTCTTGGAAGTACAGAGAGCTCTCTCCATAGAGATGAAATTTGTGGGTTTTAGGAGGGAGGTTCTGTTTGGCAGAACATTGGCTCTTTGGCCTTAGCCCTGCTATAAATGAAGCTTCTATGGAGGAAAGACCATGAACCTGTGGGATCCATAAGGTACATGATTTCCTTTAAGCGCTTAGTAGATTACATTATTTATTTATGATATTCCCTAAAACCACGTGATTATCACAAATGATGCTATTCAAATTTCAAGTCAATACATAAAATCTTTGTATTTTCCTCCTCAATCAGTTGTGTAAACTTTATTTTGAATATCATGAGAGCTCGCACAGCCACGATCGTAAAGTTCTGGATTGTAAATGGTTCGGTTCCAGAGGCAACTCTGTATCACACTAATCCATTTTGGGATTCAGTTGGGAGTCTCTGGGCCAGGGCTGTTGGTGGACTAAGATGGCGCCTCAAGGCAAAACTTGTGGGCGTGACAGCCAGTCTGCTGGGTAGGTGGGGACCCAGGGAGGGACAGCCCGATGCCTCTGCTGCCATGTGGCATGGAGATTTAATCCTGGAACTCAGATACCTAAGCCTTACTTGTGGAAGCTTTTGGTCACTGGGATTCCATTTGGAGTAGGTGGGGGCACTGCACCTGCTCCATCTGAGGTGCCCTGGTGAAATTGGGTCGGTATGGGGCCTGGAGAGATTGCTGGCTCTGTGGTGTCTTCCAGGACTCGCTGCTGTGTCTCTGGGACAGAACTGTTGGTGCGCCAAGATGGCGCCTGAAGGCAAATTGTGGCCATGACAGGAATAATCCGTTTAAAGGTTAAAATCAACTGTGGAACCTGAGATCCCTTGCACAAAATGAAACTGATGTCATATATGTTTCTATAATAATTAGAAGAAACTTGGAAATAAATTTGTTTACCTGTATTTCTGTATTAATATCAAGCAGCAACCTATTATCTGAGTTTGGTTCACTCAGCATGATTATAAACCCATTGAAAGTTCCTATCTGGTCAAAAACATTGTAAAGTAAAGTAAAGGCCCTCCCGTTGATCGTCGATTTGCTCGAGCGGGCCCAGTAACGTCTCCATTGGAGACTTTGTTGTTACTGTGTCTGGCATATCGAATACTCTCGGTAGCTTGCCGGGCTCTCCGAGAGGGGCGGAGGAATCGAACTCGGGTCGGCCATGTTGGCCGCTTGTAAGGCGAACGCCCTACCGCTGTGCTATCGCTCCAGCCCAGGAATGTAGCTGGTTGGTAGAGTACTTGCTTTGTATGTGTGAGGCCCTGGGTTCAATTCTTAGCACTGCATGGTCCCCCCAGCACCATGCTGGGAATAGAGCCCAAGCACTGCAGGGTATGGCCCCAAAATGAAACAACAAAACAAAATGACACTTAAAGTGGCCGTTTCTTATCAAAGAAATACAGTTTAGGCATTAAAGTTATAATGCCCTATATGGTACTTTATACTTTTCAATTTGATTCAGGCCACCAGATAACCAAACCATTTTTCCAAACTTTCCACTCATAAACCTTTGTTATTCTCATTTGTTTAGGAATAAGCCAGCACCATGGACTGGGGCACCCTGCACACTTTCATCGGGGGTGTGAACAAACACTCTACCAGCATTGGCAAAGTGTGGGTCACTGTCATCTTCATCTTCCGGGTCATGATCCTGGTCGTTGCAGCCCAGGAAGTGTGGGGTGATGAACAGGAAGACTTTGTCTGCAACACTTTGCAACCGGGATGCAAGAACGTGTGCTACGACCACTTTTTCCCTGTGTCCCATATCAGACTGTGGGCACTACAGCTCATCTTCGTGTCCACGCCAGCTCTGCTGGTGGGAATGCACGTCACCTACTACAGACATGAGGCAGCCCGCAAGTTCCGGCGTGGGGAGAAAAGGAATGAGTTCAAGGACTTAGAAGACATCAAGAGGCAGAAGGTTCGGATAGAGGGTGCCTTGTGGTGGACCTACACTGGCAGCATATTCTTCCGGATCCTCTTTGAAGCCTGTTTTATGTACATGTTCTACTTCCTTTACAATGGGTACCATCTGCCCTGGGTGTTGAAATGTGGGATCGACCCTTGCCCCAACCTTGTAGACTGCTTTATTTCCAGACCCACCGAAAAAACAGTGTTCACCATTTTCATGATTTCTGCATCTGTGATCTGTGTGCTGCTTAATGTGGCTGAGCTGTGCTACCTGCTCCTGAAAGTGTGTGTTAGGAGATCCAAAAGAGCTAAGGCGCAGCGAAATCCCCCCAATCATGCCATGAAAGAGAATAAACAGAATGAGACGAACGAGCTGATTTCAGACAGCGGGCTGAATGTGATCACAGGCTTTCCAAGTTAAACGTTTCCAAGGAGAAAGCTGCTGCTGACTTGACGAGGCTGGGGTCCCCTCCGTGAACACAATGCTGACCTAAATTTCCCCTCTAGGCTACCGATTTTGCCTTTATAAATAACTTTTACATTACTTGAGTTAACTTTTTGTAGGATAGCTGTAATATGCAGCAGAATCTCATAAGTAGTCCAGCTCTGAAAACTAAGATTGCCAGCTGTGCCTTAGAGTAACTGGAATGGTCTGTTTTAAGCAGATCTGACAAAAAGTATGAAACTATTGTTGTTGATAAAATTTGTCTTTTACTAATAGAAGATATTTTTATAGGATTGAATGTTTTAGTTCTGACTTTGAATTTATATAAAGTATTTTTGTAATGCTTGGTTCTTACTTGGAAAAGCATGTAATATTGGCTTTAAAATTGTACTCTAAATAGCTATTGAACTTACCTAAATCTTCTTTTGCTGTAAATATTGTTTTCACATGTCTGTTTGCATTAACACACTCAAAAGCCATCTTATACTCTCAAGGTGACAAGTGGTTGTTGCACAACATCTTTTACTACTTTCTGACTGGTGACAGCTCTGTGGAAGTGGAATCTTTAAATTGGCTTCTTTGTAATCCTTGTAAGCAGCTGACACCTGAACATGTTTGCCTCAATTAAAACCAGTTCATTGTCCATGCCTTCAGCTGTAGTGTGAGTTTCTGTGCAGTAGAGCAAGTGTGTCATCATGTGCAGGAGAATGAGTCGCTAGATGATTTTGCTGGAATCTGTTTACTGACATGAGAAGGCTCCAGGAAGGTGCGGGGAGTGAAGGGGCAGGGAGGTGACTCTTATTTTTTCACATCCAATGATCAAGAGTAGGGGTTAGCATCCCATCTCCCACCCCAAGACATTCCTTTGCAGAGAGGCTACCATGCTTTAGGACATGGAAAACATCACTTGGCTTCATCCAGCCTTAATGGAAGGTCAGGAAGTTTGTCAGTAGTTCTCAAACTCTGCCTCCGAGGGTACACTCTGCACTCCTTGGTCTCTGCGGCACTGGGAAGCGCACTCACGGCTTCACACCTTTGGTGGAGAAACCTTTCCCCAGGATGTCCAGATTGTACACAGACGCCTTTAGTGTATTGGTGAGCAGAACCATACCTCTGGAGTAGAGTCTGTGGAATTGCACGGGCCCCTCTGCTGGGAGAAACCTCATCAACAGTGAACACAGATATGGGTTTGATCTGGCATGGTGATTCCAGAGTCTTTCTCAAAAAAAAAAAGTGATTTTCTTTTTCTTCAGATCCCAGAAAAAAATCCAGTTTTTACCTATAAATATATTCGTTTCACTCTATAAAAAACCAGTAACTAACTTTTAACAATGAAGTCCAAATTTTCTATCCTCACACTGAAAAACTGTTGTAAGCATTAGTAATCCAGTTGCCCTATACTTTTGGGAGGAGAGGGGTTTACCACCCAAATGGTGCTCAGGCAGTCGTCGGGTCCCACAGTGATTGTCAGCCAAAAGGTCCAGGGGTTGCGAGGTCATGGTGCTGCTCAGACCCTTGGTGCAAGATACCCACACCCACTGCCTGCTGTGACCCAACCAGCGCCACTGCAGCAACTCTGAGCTTTAGCCCCTCACCACTCACACCAAATCAAACCACTTCTTCTGAGTTTCTTCTTAAAGTTCTTTCTGTGATTGTTTTCTGTGACCTGAGATAGTCACTGCCGTCCTCCAGATAAGAGCTGAAGTCAAAACTAGTAAACTCCTCTAGATGTGGAAGTTGAGCAAGCGCAGGCTGGCTGGGTAAAATGTAAGGAATGCTTCATTTCCCTTATCTTGTCCTTCCCTGAAAAGCCTATGCCAGGAAAACAGCATGTAAGCAGCTCCCTTAGTAACAAATCTTTTAAAGTGAAAAAAATTATTGTACTGCAAAAGACCTTTAGAAGATTAAAGAAAAGCTAGAATGGAAAAAATATTTCCAAATCGAGTATCTGTGAAACAATTCATAACTAGACTATATAAAGAGTTCTCAAAACTCAACAATAGAAAACAAAAGTAAGATTTGTGTTGGAATATTGAATACCTGAAACAACTATTATGAACAATTTTGTAAATCGGTGTTTTTTTTTAAAAAATCACACCAAAGAAAGAAAGAAAAAACTATTTCAGATTAATTTGTCAGTCAGATCTGAAGGAAGATCTTATTGAGCGTCAGGGATGGAGCCCCAGGTGGTGTGCCGTGAACTCGCCTGGGAGGAGGGCAGAGGTGCAGGTCTGTGCACCCACAGTACCTCCTTTGGCTCCAGCCCAGTAATGGGAGAGCTGGTGTCCACTGCAGCACCAAAGTTGTATCCAGGCTGCCCACCTGCTTTCTACAAACACCACCAAGAGTGGGCATGTTGAGACCCTCCCAAAAAAGCTCTAGGCCCATTCTTGCCCAGCTCTCTGTGCCCTGACAACATGGAGGTGCCAAAGCTTCCACAGGTGCTATGGGGTGGGGCCAGCTCTGCACTGCCCAGGGCTCAGCCTTTCTGTGATACCAACTGGAGCAGAGTTGTAAGAAAAAGCCAGATCACGAGTCTTCCCTTCCCCACACTCGCCAAGCTCTGGACTACTGGCCAGCACATGCTTTATCAGGGAGGAAGAGTGGTAGACCAGCCACCTCACCTGGCTCCAGGTCCCCAACTGGTCTGTGCTCTCCTGGCTGCCTTTCGGTTGCCTGCTGTTTGATTTTATGGTGGTTCCAGGTCTCTGGTTGTACTTATTCACATGATTGGGCAGTGTATAAACTGCATCATCCAGGCAGCAAAAGTTTCCTTCCTAATCAATAATAGCTTGAATGGAATTAATGAAATCCATAGAGTTGGAATCACTCTAATATGTTAATATGTTTGAGATTTGGGTGTTTTATTTTTTGTTTTGGTTTGGTTTGGGGGGTCTTTGTTTGCTTGCTTGGTTTTGGATGCTGGGTGTTGGGGCCACACCCAGAGGTGCTCAGGATGTATTTCTGGCTCTGCACTCAGGGGTCACTCCTGGCAGAGCTTGTGGTACTGGGAATTGAATCTGGGTCAGGTGTATGCAAGGATTACCCAGTGTGCGATAGTTTTGGCCCTGATGTGACTCTTTAATCTTAATTTCCCTTTCTTTTTATGATCTTGTAACTTTTTATTTTTCAGAAATTGGGTCATTTATCTTCCGGAGTTTCTCAGAGTCTGGGATTTGGTGGTTGTATATTCCCTGCCATATTCTTCTATTCTTCATATTTATTTTCTATAAGCTGCAAAAGCTCTCTTTTCTGCCATTTAGGTTTGTCTCTCTGGGGTACTGTTCACTACCATTGCATAACTCCTCCTTCATTACCAGCTGAAAAACAGTGTTCAGACTAATTTCTTAATCTGTCACCCAGACATGCCAGTGAAGACTATGAGCATGTCAAATTCACCATTGTCCCTAGATTACAAAACAAAAATGTCAAGGAAGGATAGAAAGGTAAGGGGAGGGGCTGGAGCGATAGCACAGCAGATAGGGCATTTGCCTTGCACACGGCCGACCAGGTTTCGATTCCCAGCATCCCATATGGTCCCCTGAGCACCACCAGGAGTAATTCCTGAGTGCATGAGCCCGGAATAACCCCTGTGCAACACTGGGTGTGACCCAAAAAGAAAAAAAAAGAAAGAAAAGTAAGGGGAGCAAGAAGAGGAGGTCTGGAAGGTAGCACAGGAGCAAGAGGGAGAGGATTTGGGTCTGTGATGTAGAGGTGAAGTATCTGTATTATCTAAACCACTAGACCCAGCCCTACCCAAGCATGGGACCCAGGGTACAATAATTAAACACGTGTCTATTGAGGAGTCAGGTTGGGTGGTGGAAGGGCACCTGGGTCATTGGTGCAAGGATGAGGTCATGGGTTGGTGGGATGGGAGGTGGGAACATTGTACACCTGAAATCTAGGGTAAACAGTGGGTAGCACTTGCCTTGACACACAGCCAACCCGGGTTTGATCCCCAGCATCCCATACCCTCTGAGCACTGCCAGGAGTGATTCCTGAGCACAGAGTCAAGAATAAGCTAAAGCATTCCTGAATGTGCTTCATCCTCCCCTCAGTCCCCTGAAAGAAAAAAAAGAACTGGCAATTTCTGCAGCCCAGTTTTCTGCCAAGCCCAGTTTGTGCCATCAGTGATAGGAACTTAAATTTCTATGTAGGTCTTCTTTTGCTGTAAAATACCTGTGGTAAAGTTTTCCAAATAAAATGCAGGTGGGAGACAGCTCAACAGATTGTTACAGGCTTTGCCTGCCAGCCACCAGGCTCAGTCTCTGCACTGCACAGTCCCCAGAACCTCACTAGGAGCAAGAGCCAAGCCCACTGCATGTATCCCCCTAGCAAAAATTAATTCTAATTAAAAGATAAAATTTTCTGGGCCAAAGCAATAGTATAGCAGGTAAGACGCTTGCCTTACATATCCAGGCTTTACATACTTAGGATTGCTTCACACCCCATATGATTCCCCAAGCCCTGCCAGGAAGGATCCCTGAGTGCAGAGCCAGGAGAAACCCCTGAATACAGCCAGGTGTGACCCAAAACACCAAAATATTTTTTAACAAGTGGATAAATATGATGAAAAATTTCTTCTGGTGCAGAAAAGCAGAGGAGAGCAAAGACACTTGAGGGAGCTATGTGATGCCTGTCAGCTCTTATCTTCTCCTCCTTGTTTTGCCAGCCTTCCCAGAGCCCTTTCCTGCAGCCCACGGTAGCCTGGCACCTTCTCTCACCACCAGGCATATGTCTAGTGCCTCACCAGACTCCTAACTGGCCTCCCACCTCAGCAGCCAGCACCATTTCACTAAGACCCGTGTCACTGGCACAGAGACATGTTTCACTCCACATGCATGTGAAGTCAGCTATGTCTGACCTGAGTCAGACCCCTGACCTGTGTCAGAAGCACCGGAGGATGGAGACACAGGGGTTGGCCAAGGTCTAACCCAGCAGTGGAATAAAGTCTAACAAGGGGAAAACACAGAGGCAGTGGCGAGG